CCACTAAGGTCAGAGCCGAGCCTGGCACGGGGCAACGGTTTGGAGGGTGCAGGATGAGGGATTGGGGAGGGGATGGAGGGCTATACCAATGAGGGGTGTACCATCAGCACGGTGGATGGGAGGGGCAGATATGGCGGGAGCAGGAGACCATATCACGTGTCGGGGGTGCGCACTCACTGTTTGAGAGCTATTGCGCGCCCCGGTCTCCAAGGCTCCCCTCGGATACTAGGTGGCTCAGATACTCAGGACCTGGGCCTTTGGCTGATGCTGTGCAATGCCAGGTCCATGGTAAATAAGGCCCCCCTCATTCACGATATTATACAGGAGGGGGGAGCGGACCTGGTGGGTATTACGGAGACCTGGTTGGGCCCGGAGGGAGGGGTCCGTCTGGTTGAGATGTGCCCACCAGGCTTCAGAGCATTCCATCAGCCGAAGGCCCAGGGGAGGGGCAGGGGGGTGGCGGTTATTATTAACGAAGGTCTTAGTCCGAGGGAGACCACTGTGCCACAGATTGCCGGATGTGAATCCCTCTTTGTGAGATGGGGTCATGGGGTTCAGATGGGCTTGTTGCTTGCGTACCTGGCTCCCTGCCGCGCGGCAATGGCCCTGCCCGAGCTCCTCGACATGATAGCCATGGTGGCAGTTGATATACCCAGGCTTATGGTCATGGGTGATTTCAACTTGCCGTCCATCGGTGAAACGTCTTGAGACGGCTCAGGAGTTCATGGCTTCCATGACGGCCATGGACCTGACCCAACTAGTTCATGGCCCCACCCACAGGGCGGGACACACTCTGGACTTGATTTTTGTCTCTGGTCAGTGGTTGAGTGATCTTATTATAGGGGATATAGACATGGAACCCTTGTCATGGTCAGATCACTCGCTCCTTCACCTGGACCTTCAAACCGCTACACCCCGCCGCAGGGAGGCGGAGCCAATAAGATGGGTCCGCCCCAGGCGCCTGATGGATCCTGATAGGTTCCAGATGGAGCTTGGGCCATTTACTGAGGATCTAGCACATGACTCGGCTGAGGACCTGGTAGCCGCCTGAGATCGGGCGGCTGGTGGGGCCTTGGACCGAGTCGTGCCTTTGCGGCCTCTGACCCGGTGCCGATCCCATGCAGCTCCTTGGTTTACTGAGGAGCTGAGGGAAATGAAGTGCCGGAAAAGATGCCTGGAGAGCGGTTGGAGGGCCAGTCTCGCTGAATCTGATCGAACACTGGTAAGGTCGCATATTGAGGCCTACCTAGTGGCGATAAAGACGGCAAAGTTTAATTACTTTTCCGCCTCTATTGCGTCATCAGGGAATCGTCCGGCCGCCCTGTTTAGGGTGACCCGCTCCCTGCTCCATCCGGGAGTGCGGGAGGATCCCCTGGAAGGCAGGGCGGAGGATTTCGGACAATACCTGTATGACAAAATCGCTCAGATCCGGGGGGATTTGGACTCTGACTGGGTAGATCAGGGCAGGGTGACGAGGAATAGTCTTGAGAATGTTATCTGGGAGGAGTTTGATGCTGTGACTCCCGATGATGTGGACAGGATTTTGTGGAGTCTTAGTATGGCCACATGGTTACTGGACCCGTGTCCCTCCTGGTTGGTACTGGCTTCCCGGGAGGTTACACGAAGCTGACTCCAGGGTGTTATCAACGCTTCGTTGAGTGAGGGTTACTTCCCCGCTGCCTTGAAAGAGGCGGTGGTGAGGCCTCTCCTCAAGAAGCCGTCCCTGGATCCGGCAATATTGGCCAACTATCGTCCTGTCTCCAACCTTCGCTTTATGGTGAAGGTTGTTGAGAGTGTGGTCGCGCGACAGTTTCCACAATTCCTGGAGGAAACATCTTATCTAGATCCGTTCCAGTCGGGTTTCAGGTCTGGGCACAGCATGGAAATGGCATTGGTCGCATTGGTTGATGATCTCTGGAGGGCTCGGGACAGGGGTTGCTCCTCTGTTCTGGTCCTGTTAGACCTCTCAGCGGCTTTTGATACCATCGACCATGGTATCATGCTGCATCGGCTGGAAGAGTTGGGGGTGGGAGGCGGTATTGCGGTGGTTCTCCTCCTTTCTCTCCGACCGGTCGCAGTTTGTGTTGGCAGGGGGGCAGAGGTCGACCTCGAGGCCTCTCGTCTGTGGCGTGCCGCAGGGATCGGTCCTCTCGCCCCTTCTGTTCAACATTTATGTGAAGCCGCTGGGCGAGATCATCCGTGGCTTCGGGGTGAGATACCATCAGTACGCTGATGACACCCAGCTGTACATCTCCACCCCAGGCCACCCCAATGATGCCCTTGAAGTGATGTCTCAGTGCCTGGAGACTGTGCGGATCTGGATGGGGAGGAACAGGCTCAAGCTCAACCCTTCCAAGACTGAGTGGCTGTGGCTCCTGGCATCCCGATATAGTCAGTTGACTCCATCACTGACTATTGGGGGCGAGTCTTTGGCCCCCACAGAAAGGGCTCGCAATCTGGGAGTCCTCCTGGATATGCAGCTGTCCTTGGAGGAACATCTGATGGCTGTAACCAGGGGGACCTTTTATCAGGTTTGCCTGATTCGCCAGTTGCGGCCCTTTCTTGATCGGGATTCCCTGTGCACAGTCACTCACGCCCTCGTCACCTCTCGCCTTGACTACTGCAATGCTCTCTACATGGGGCTCCCCTTGAGGGGCACCCGGAGGCTCCAGCTGGTCCAGAATGCAGCAGCGCGGGTAGTGATGGGAGCAGCATGGCGCTCCCATGTAACACCGCTCCTGCGCGAGCTGCACTGGCTCCCGGTGATCTTCTGGGTGCGCTTCAAGGTGTTGGTTATCACCTTTAAAGCGCTCCATGGCATAGGGCCTAGCTATCTTCGAGACCGCCTGCTGTTACCGACGACCTCCCAGCGACCCGTGCGCTCCCACAGAGAGGGCCTCCTCAGGGTGCCATCAGCCAAACAATGTAGGTTTTTAAAATTTTGGGCCAAATTTATATAGATTTTAATTGTTTTTAATATTTGTGTTTCATGTTTTTAATTCTGGCTGCGCACCGCCCTGAGTCCTCAGGGAGAAGGGCGGTATATAAATTGAAAATAAATAAATAAATAAATAAAATAAATAACACCAGTTAAAGGGAAAAGACTGTCTTTTTGCTGCCCGGAAGTACAACGGATGCTTCAAAATGATGTCTTTTGGAGAGCCAGAGAGGTGAAGGAGGGAAATTTTATGCCAACATTCAAAGTGCAGGGGCAGGTCTACCAAAGGATAGGGAGTATCATGGCAGGGCCTCAGCAGCAGCCTTCATTTCTCCAGATATACTTTGTTGGTGATGATGACAATGAGAGTCTGTCAAGACCAAGGGGATGCGACATTGGTCGTAAGTGTGAAAAATGGTCATAAGTAGTAAAGCATGGGTATCCAGTTAGTATTTTATAAGATTATAATTTTCTGAAATAAAAGTGACATATCCAAAATATTTGAATATTTATTCAATTGGAATTTTGGAGAGTAAAATAGAATAAAATAAAATTGTATTGCTCCCTTTGAATTGTGTGAATTAAACTTTTTGAATTCTGATAAAGATTTTCGGTAGTTGTGATTAATTTATTGTTAATGAAGAACCGATCTGTCAAGTTCTATTTTCATATGTTTTTCCTTTTGCTACTTTTTTTTACCATTCCATTTCTGAACTTATATGACTTTTTAAAATATACAATGTTTTTATCTGTAGTTTTCTTCTTCACAGACTTTTTGTGTGTGTATATAAATTGTGCATTATATAAGTAGTCTTTTTTTAAGCTTAGGGATAAACTGCAGATGAATGCAGAGATAAACTGCACTAATTTTATTGAAAAATGCCTATTTTTAAGTACATAATGTTATCCATGTTCTGGTTCAACTGGCCATATATATCATAGTGAGAGGGAAATGTATTCATTCTAATTTGAATTTGAATGTAATTTGAAAGTAGTAGACCTTCCCAAATTCTTAATGCTATAAAGTACTGTGAAGTGGTATATAAATTGAAGTTCTATTCAGTAGTGGGTTTCAAATCCCATCACTACCAGCTTGCTCGTGGGCGTGCACAATGCTCATGGGTGCGCGCAATGCTTCTGCGCATGCACAGACACGTCCACGTGGGTGGGCAGAGCTTCCCGCTGCTGTCGCTACCGGTTCACCCGATCCAGGGCAAACCAGTAGCAACCCACCACTGGTTCTATTCCTATTTAAATCAAACCTTTTTTTTAGGAACATAAAACCACTTAGTCCATGCCCACTATTATGCTAATATTGCTAATGAAGTTGTAAACAACCCACCAGACAGGACGTTAGGCAATAACTTTATTTATAGAACAAAAAAAAAATCTGCTCTGTTCAAGAGTCTATCACTTTGGATAAGTTTGAAGGTATGTAATAACAAGATTCATTATCTCTCCAATTTATAAGAAATAAATTAGTATTGGAAAAGTTTTGGTAGTTCAAATGATCACTTCTTTATTTATAAACTGTATACAGTAAGTAAGATGGCTACTATGAATGAAAATTAATTATTAAATGTAACTAATTAAAGACTGAACAGGCATTAGAAATGGGTGTCTTAATTTTACATAGTTTCGCATATCTTTAATTCATTTCAAGGGCGGCATATAAATCGAACCAATAAATAAATAAATAAATTTCATATTGTTTGTATATAAATTTCCAATTTTTATACAGGCATAAAATTGGTATGCTTTATATTCACTTTGGAAACCTGATTTTTTTTTTTTTGGACAACAGTTTCAGTAATGTCTCTCATTGACTATTTCAGCTATACATCTGTGTATGAATTACTTGACTGGAGAACTTAATCACACAATACTGCGAACAGAGAGATCTATTTTACTTCACATGTTAATTTTCAAACAGTAAATTAGGAAGAATTAGATTAAAATGCAATTTAGATTTATTTAACTAAACTAAAACATTTTTCTAAGTAGCATAAAAAAACCCACATCCTAAACTATGAAATAACTGAAGAATTCATTTTAGTCCTACCCGTAAAATTTCTTCAACACAGTCATCATCACCTACTCCACTGTCCTGTAAACGAAGAGGAAATAGAAATAAAGTTAGAATTAATGGCCACCATACATGAATATATGCCTTTTGGCAACATCTATGCAATGCTGGTGGATTGCTTCTGGAAATCATGCCATTTTTCTTAAATGTGCCCTACCACAGGTTGGCCATAATCCATTGGGGATTTTTTTGCTATAACAGTCATTGAAATTAAATGACTACTATGTAATTTAGTGTCATGGATATTGTACAGGAAATGTTTAAAGTTACATAACACTAATATGTACTGACACAGTCTGCCAAAACAGTACCTTAACTGATACTGGCTGCACTTAAAATGAAAGCAACTATTCAACTGCAAATGAAACTAAAAAGAAGCATGAAGGTTACCATCTCCATTGTATAATTGAGCTATCAAATAATATTAGAATATCCTATCTTGAAAAAAACAATATATCCCAGTTTTTAAAAATATAAAATATACTCCTTATAATTTAAGAATGAGATTAATATAACAAAATAAAGAATCCCCAAATGTTTTTAAAAGGTTGGATATCAAGTTTTGTACTTGCATTGTAAAAGTATAACCCAAAATACACCAAAGACCCTACATTGTAAGTAAATTGAGCGATTTTTTAAAACTCATATGATTTGATTTAGTCCAACATATTTCCATTTTGGTTTTAATTTACAACATGCATTAACACAATTTGACAAGTGGAGGAAAGTCCTAAATTAAACACACTGGACCCTCCATATACTCTAACCCAGGGGAGAGCAACTACGGTCCCTTTATGACCTGTGGACTTCAACCTCCAGAATTCCTGAGCCAACCAGGAATTTGGGGAGTTGAAATCCACAGGTAGTAAAGGGGCCATAATTGCCCACCCTGGCTCTAACCCAAGACTGGGGGAAAGAATCAAGTTTTCCGGAAACTTTTAAACATGGCCAAGGAGAAGAAAGCAGATTCTTTTATTTCATTCGTTGCTGGGGAAAATTACTGTGCCAGAAAGCTTACATATATATTGCTCTAGTTTTGTCCTGAATTTCAAGATAAAAATTAATTCAAAAGCTTATCATTATGAAGGTTCTGCTTCTTAGTTAAGTTCAACTGTTTGAAATCTCAAAGGAGATATTAAAGCTTCATGGAAAGGAAATGCCAGATGCACATATTTTCCTTTCCTATTATGGGATCTCTACCTACTAAAAATAAAAGCTGTCACTGTAATGTATCATGACAAGGAAGTTCCTTCAGGGGCAAAAGTTCACTTCAAGTCATCTTCTTGTTTACCAGTAGTATGCTTCTTTTTGTAAGCAAAAACATATTGAAGTTCCTTCTTCCCATTTCATGTCCCTGAACCATACAATATCAAATTATATGGAAAAATACCAGATCCAGATTCGCTCTGCTTATAACAACACATACTCTATGTGTCTCTGTATGAACTGATGCACATTTATCAACCAGGACACATATTGAATTAAATAGGCCTTACTTGTGAATAAGTATCTGGGTAGGATAATAATAATAATAATAATAATAATAATAATAATAATAATAATAATAATAATAATAATAATAATAATAATAATAATAATAGCATAACTTTTTCATGTGTTTCATTTGTTTAAAACCTTCAAACACTCATTAATGTATTTTATCTGTATAAATACGTACACCCGGATAGGATAATAGAAAAGACATAACAAATACATTGTATGGGTTGTGCAAAAAACAGCTTTGTGAGCAAGTATCTTAGAGTATGGGAATTGAAATGTCAATAACTAAAGGAGACATTATGGAACAAATGTAGTAATATAATGTGAACATAAAATGCAGTGATCAAGTTATTGAAATTGCTTAGTTTGATTATCTGTATAGGCAGATTGATGTGACAATTAAATAATTTTTGACATTTTGTAAAATAACAAGTGAACTTGCATAAGAATAATCCTTAATTCTATTCCTGAATCAGGGCTTTCCGTGGAGACTATTAAAATTTGCAAGATGGCAATCATCACAATTTAAGCCCCACCTCTTTTGTGTGCAGGGTAGGGCTTCAATCACAACAATGTGTTAGCCATTGTGCAGAATTTGACAAATCACTGTCGATGCACCTGCTCTGAATCTTGGGCAAGTTTTTAGAATGTTATCATCATAATATATATGTGAGCTAAGGCAACTCTGTCTGAGATGCTTTCTATTCTAAAGAGAACTGAGCTAATTTGTGTACAGCTGCCAGTAATATAAACATGCTGGTTAGAATTCTTTATACAGCAGATGCCTTTGTATTTCATATTTCAAGCAAGTTAATAAGCAGGTGTCAAAACTTTGAATTAAAATTCCCAAAAGAGGGAAGAACAAAGGACAATAAAAATGATTTTTTAAATAATCATAGCGATAAATAGCATCTACTTCTGATAAATATAAGCGCTGGCATAAAATGTTATTAGGCTACAGAGATGTTCTTTTGTTTCAGAAATATGTTTTGTTCTTCAGCAGTGTCATTCATCATCCTAATAAGCCCTCCATATGTAAATTAAATAGCAAAGTTTGATTCATTCAAATACGTCTTTGTAGTGTGTTAGATCATTTTTTAACATTTATTTCATTCCCTTCACTGCTGAATAACTCCATAGTATTTGTGTAATTTAAGGATCCAGTTCATACCCTGGAAATGTTTTGTCATTAGTTCTTATTCAGTTTTGCTTTCACTGTGAAAATTTCAAAATCTCATTTAGGACTATGGTGCAAATTAATATTGGAACCACCCAAATTTCCAGATATATGTACATCTTTTGTGTTTCTTTTAAACAGAATTATGTATTTTTTTAAAAAAAACATGCATTGTCCTTTTGTACTCCCCCCCCAAAATTAACTTCAGTGATTTTATAGTTAAACATGTATAATTAACTGACGTGTCAAATATTTATAATTACCACTTTCATGATCTTTGTAAAACAAGATGTTATTATTTAATTTTCTGGTGGTAGAAAAACCACACAGTCTTATTGTATGTTTGTATACTTTGGGATAAATACGCATTTTTTTTTTAGTATTCATTAAAGCACATCATTTTTTAATTTTATTTTCAAAACTTACCTAGCCCTGCTGGTCAGAAATAAAAATAAGTTTCATATTTAATTTGAATGAAAGTAACTGCAAAGAACACATATAACATTTTTTCCAGAGAACTGGAAAAGTTATTAGCATTTAGCATGGAGATATCATTTGGTATGTCATTTTAAAAGATTTAAAGAAAAAGAAAGACAATTTACATTAAATCCCATACAATGTAAGATTCACATTTTGCTTATTTAGCCATACCTGAAAAGGACTTTAAACACTGCTTGCATTTTTTACTATGTGGAGTTTAGACAAAAAACCCAAACTTTCTGAAACAAATGAGGTTTAATGCAGTGAGTTTCTTTAGTTATCCAAACATTCTTGGATTTTATATGATATTAGTATACATGAGTAGAAATTCATGATATATAAATTGCTCCAATTCAACTGAAATAATTATGTTCAAGGAAGTTTTCAATGCAAAGAATTTGTGACATAGGCTTGATGCTTGGAACATGGCCCATAATTGTACCAAATATGTCCAAGTGACTAAACTTTCCTGTTTATTTCAATGATTTCTAGAACGTTGTCTATGAATTATGCCTACATGAAGCAGAAACTGACTTTTTATGATTACAAATAAACACAAAATCATTTGGTTTATAGGAAATGTTCTGGAATGGTTATTAAAATTCAGTATTATAGGAAAACAAGGAAATATAAAATGCATAAGCGAAACACTGACAGAATCATGTAGGATGTAGGATGTAAGGAGGGGAGAAAGAAGCATAATGTTTCCACTTTACACAACAATGTGAAGTTACCAACTGACATTGCAAGTCAAATGTAATGCAGCTTGCATATTAAACTTTTAATTAGATCTGAAAGTTAACCATGGATAGCATATCTTCACAACAAAATACTGTAAAGCAACTTGTTATAGTAAAAGCAGTTATAGGGATCATGCAGCAGTATTTTTTTATGTTTAGTCCTCAGAAGTTCCTGTGCTTGTATATGTCTACAAATAAAATGCCTTCTGTTCAAGAAGTAAATGTCTTGGGCAGGCACTGATGTTGTTATATTTCCTTGTTCATTTTCTCTACTTGGTTGCCACGACTGTCATAAAATATTAAGCTATAGCTGTGATGAGTGTAATATGAAGAATGCTTTAGGTTTTGTTATTTTGTCTGCTCTAATTTATCAGAGATATCTTTGCCTAAGACTTAGAACAATTATGAGTCAATCTGTATTTTAAATAAAACTGTCATTTTAAAAGCCTGGATCCCAGGTAAAAAATAGCATGGATGTAATACTGGGGTACCACTCTGCCCAAGAGGTTAATAAAATCTGGACAATGAAGCAAACAATATAGTTAATCAATACCATCAGACCACTACTTTTATCCCTTAAGATCTTCATTTTCAACTCACTGAACATCATTACAGCAGAGAACTTGGACAGTCAATCTCCATCTACCAACACAAGATAAATAAATTAATTAGATGGTCATAAAAACGACAGTACTGCATTCTGCCATTTGACCTTTTAAAAGTATTACTCTTGGTGTTAATAACCATTCTAAATAAGAAAGTGAAGCAGTATATCTTACTGCTTTTAGGTTTTTAAATACACAAAACCAAATACTATTATATTTAAGGTATGTTCAAGCATTTTCTTTTGCTTTTAAGCAAAGCAACTTAATTCATACTTCCTGCATTCATATGGTAGTCAGAGTCCTTCAAATTTTTTTGTCTTTCATTTATCGCATTCTTATTTTAATGTATGTGTCTGTCTGTGTGTCTAAAGAAGAATACAGTATAAAACAGTCATCACTATGTACATTTTTATTATTTTAAGAATTATATAGGATCATCCATCTTAAGAGACACAACTTGGAGTGGTTCACAGCATATTGTTTGTGAAGAATAAATTAAAAATCATTGAAATAATATTA